ATATTAGCATACATAGCGTAGTGTAGACGATATAATATGTGTACACACAAAAATTCTTAATGATGAACTATTTAAACTGGTCATTGCCACTGGTGATAAAATATGTGGTTTATTTCGCACCCAAAGACCACCGTGCTAAGTACTATATTGTAAGTTGCAAGAAGTAGGGCTATATAATAAATTTCAGTTTTTAGTTTTTTATTGATAAAAATATTGTACAAATTATGTTAAGTAATTAAAAAAAAATTGTTTTTAAAAATCTATGTATCCCTAGGCCCTAGGGGCATTAAATCTGCACTAATAGAGTGCTAGTGGAATTAAAATTAATTTTTTTTTTGTTTTAGTAAAACAAATGGCCAGTTATGAGTGAATTGTATCGAGAAAAACATCCGTTGTTGTGCGATGATTTCTCCGATGACGAATTCAACCCTGAGAACTACAGTCCTCGGACAAACTCACGCGTGAGACCAGTGATCTGCAGTGGCAGAGCAAAGATTCAAATGAAAGGAGCTACTAATATTTTAAGGAACTGGCCTGGTAAAACTACATATGCATTGATTTTTGATTTGGTGGTACAAAAAGCTTATCAAGAAAAATATTTACAAAATCGAATATACATCCAAATATTTGAATGTGCAAATGAGCCAATTTCGTGCTATCGCTAACATTTATAGGCTGTGATCTTGTATTCTTGGCTTTTATAGGCATTTCAAGGATTGCACTAAATGACTCATTTGCTTAAAGATTTGCCTATACTCAGTGCACTGGTTTGGTTGGGGTAATGCGAGGCATTTGACAGAACCGATAGCTCTATATTGATATCTTTTTCCTCTTCATTATCAAATCGTAAAAGTCCACTGCAGAACATGGGCTTCTCCCGTTGTAAAGAGAATATGACTTCAGCGTCCTGCTTGGCAGTTGGATAGATAATAGTTGTATAGGATGGCTTACGTCAAGAACGGAAGGAAATGTAAGAATGGATTATCTTACACCGCCAACACAAGGCGATAGCTATGTATATAGGTACTCCCTATTATCAGTCTATAGGATCGGGGTTCAGTGTTTTTGGAATTATAGAGCACCGTGTGCAAGTGAGGTTAGTATATTTTTTATAGGATAGGGTGACAACGAGCATACAGTCCGCCTGATGGTAAGTGGTTGCTGTGGCCCATACACATCCACATTTATCCTCGTTTACGAATCAAAATGCAGATGCGTTGTCACCCGTGAGGACTAAGATGGAATGCCTCTTTTCCAGTAAAAAGGGTCTCCGGTTCTCTACACACACCATATGAAACACAGCAGTGTTAAGCTGCTACTTTACGATGGTATTCTGTGAGAGCGTAGTCCTTCCCCGGTCGAGCCGACCCATTCGTGCTACAACTATACTTTTTTTATATAGAATAAGGTTGACAAACGAGCACAAAGTCCACCTGATGGTAAGTGGTTGCTGTGGCCCATAGACATCTACATCTATCTTCGTTTGCGAATTAAAATGCAGATGCGTTGTCAGCCATGAGGACTAAGATAGAATGCCTCTTTTCCAGTAATAAGGGTGTCCGGTTCTCTATACTTACCATACGAAACACAGCAGCATTAAGCTGCTATTTTACGCTGGTATTCTGTGAGAGCGTGGTCCTTCCCCGGTCGAGCCGACCCATTTGTGCTACAACTATACTACTAATATAGCTGCAGCATGGCTCTAGCACATATAAAAGTAGTTGCATAAAAGGTACATTCTATCTTAGGACCTACAATTATATTGAATATTAATATGAATCATATAACAAAGCCGCAACGCTTCTGGGCCTCACATCTTCCATTGTGAAGAGCGAAATCCGATGGACTTTTGTTTATTAGTTCTGCATGGACTTTGAAGGTCTAACTGCAATACAAATCTCGTTCTGCTCATCTCATTCATACTTACATCCGAAATATAATTGGATTAGTGACAAAAGGACTTTAAAATTGGCATTTTATTACATTACATTAAGCAAACCCTTGAAGCCTTGATACCGCAGTCGTTTCTTTTTTAACTTTAATACGAGCTGTATTAAAGTTGCGTATGTCTCGCCGCATGCATCTATCTGTTTATTGATGCTGGTTTTCACGCTAACGATTATAGACTTAAGTATCATAGATCACATACATAATATGCTTTTTCGACAGATTAAACAGAACACTGAGGAGCTTAAGCTTCAATTATATCTGACATATAGACTATTCCTAAAATTTCAGCCGTGATAAAATTCCCTAGCGGTATTAGATTGAAAATACATAATCGAGGTGTAGAGTACAAAACCTACCCAAATGCAAAAAGGCATAATGCAGGGTGACAATATGTCATGTTTTATAAAACATGGGTGGCAAGCGAACATACAGTCCAACTGCTGATAAGTGGATGCTGCGGCCCATAGACGTCTACATATATCCTCGATTCAAGATTTAAATACCGATGTGTTGCCACCTCTAAAGACTAATATGGAATGCCTCTTTTCCAGTAAAAAGGGTCTCCGGTTCTCTACACTCACCATAAGAAACACAGCGTTATTCTGCTGTTTCACGCTGGTATTATGTGAAAGTGAGGTCCTGCCTCAGTCAAGCCAACCCATTTGTGCTGCAGTCAAATATAACTTAACCTTATGACATGGATAAAGATCACGCAGTTAGCTAAGAGGTAGAATACTATACTTAGGGTTTAATATTACCCGAATAAAAGTATACATAGGTAGAATAAGAGTTACTGGTGTGGTCTTACCGAACTGAAGTGGCAACACTGGAATTGTCATTTAGCTTGAAGAACAAACAGAGAAATTAATAGAAAATCAGATTTTTGAGTGACTGCCTTTTAACTAACCTAATAAGATTACTCCCATGAGGGTTAGCCCATTAAAGTAATTATACCAGCACATCGTAGGTCAATGAGCCATGCAGGAATTTGATTGATACGGGTGGCTCAAGACAATGTATTGACTATTTTTGCAGGAGGTTTACATTCAGTTCTGAAAATGTGATAGGCTGTAATGGTAATGATGATGATGATGATGCTGATAAAGTGATGTTTTAGAAATAAAAGACAAAACACAGACGCACATTATGTTTTATTAAATGTAAAGGTGTATTTAAATTTCAACTTTTCTCTGCTTTCAGACTACTGGTCATCGTTTCAATACTTATGGATGGGACTCGGCATGATCGCCATTATAGTTTTAATCGTTTATAACAGCGTAGTTGCATTTTCAATGCTGCCACCGACTTATATGAAAATGTTAAAACCACATACTTCTTACAATTCTGTAGATGATATTTTATCGGAAAACTTATCAACGTATGGTATATATATGCATATTTTTACTGAGACTGAAGATAAAGTCAACTTAGATGATTTTTTGCCTTACATTGAAATAATGTGCAAAAAATATAAAGAATTTAAATTTAACCTTATCGTTGTTACGCATGAAACATTTAAAACATTAGATTACATTAATGATGAAATTAATAATGATGTAGCCCTTAATATGTTATGGACTGATAAATCGTTTGATAATGATTACAAATTTACGCGTGGTAATCTAGATGTTAGTTATGTCTCTCTCAATAAATATCTAAAAGTTCCTATGCTCCAAAAAATTTCTAAGAGATTTTCTAATGACTTTATTGAATTCTTAGTCAGAGCTTTTTCAATATGGGAGAAGGGTGGGTTAGCTTTCAATCCAATTATCCTAACACCAAAATCTCCTAATCCCTTTTATGTAGAAAAGATACAAAACTTACTCAATATGATGAAACAGGAACGAAAAACGAATGATAATTTAAAGCATACGAAAGAATTACAAAAACCAAAGAAGACTTTAAATAACATTCGAGATATAATAGATGCTTTGGAAATCGATGATAGGTCTTCCAACAGTTTACAGTACAACTTAACGGAAGTAGAGGATAAATTTTATAAAGAGACAGTTAATGCTACAAATATAAAAGAGTTTTTTAATAACGACTCTTCTTCTGATCTTTTAAACTTAACTTTACAAGTCAAAAATTACAAAAATACAAAACCATTGGTAGCAAGCGATCGTATTCAAAGAGAAATTAACAAAAGCAGTGGTAAAAACTTCGATACAGAATCAAATAGTTTTGACAATGTGACAATGCCACATTTACTTCCCATATTTTTACAATTTTTATTGCCAAAAAAAGAATCAGTGGAAGCTGATAAAAAAAGTAATATTCCCATTGATTTGAAAAATTATCAGCCTGACATTGTTTTAAGTACGTCTGAAGAAATAAGTAATGAGCATTCTGTCGCTGCTTTCATAAAAAACAAAAATCAAAATTTATTTCAAAATAACGAAACAAAGTCGAATTGGCAAGATTATGAAAGTGATATCCAGTTAACAATTGATTTAAAAGGTAACTTAATAGCTTCAAATACAGCTTGTCATGCATTAGTTGGAAATTTTCTTAGTAATGCAGTTTATCATAATGAGAAAAAAACACTTACAGATTTTATCATCGCAGAGTTGACCGTTTTTTGTAAAGGAGTAATCTCCTCTTGCAAGGGAATCGACGTAATTTTGTCTTAGTAATCGTAATAAACGTATTCTTAGTATTTAATATAGACTTTTTGATTATTATTATTTTATAAAAACTAAAATAAATTATACAATAAGGTATATATTGTATTTCCTTCTTACATTCTACTTCATGATCAAAAACAAAATAATTAATCGTGCTCAAAATATTGTCACTGCTGCTTGTAATAAAATAGCAATATTTTGATCACAAGTACGAATATTTCCTTAAACTTATCGTAAGGATTTTTGAAATGCAAATGCATGTCATCAAATAACAGACTAGATTATAAGCATTCAAATTATTCACATACTTCAAGAATATACTTTCAAGTATATAATATAGAAAATACTTGGTGTATAATTTTTATATGCAACTAAACCATATTCATTCACTATTCGATTTTTTTGTGTAATACTCAGTATAAATCACGCTACGTTTTTTCTTTCTACTGGAATTTCCGATCTTCCATCCCACTGATTTGGAGAGCCTTTGCATTCCGTCATCTTAGAAACAGGTTCGCATCTTCTACTTATTGACCAATACACATAATTTTCAGGACAGCGAAATATAAAGCCGCGCAGTTTTCCAGTTTTAGAAACTTCACATTTTAAAATTGCAGGAGAACATTCTTCATTTTTCTCAAAAGGAAAATGGCCTATTCCTGGACACCTATATGTATTTCCACTTACTCTTATCTAAAATAAAGAAACCAATATCATTAATCTAATTATACATATACCTACATAAAAAAATATGTAAATAAATAATAGTAACATTAACTACTAAAAAGTAGCATCCCATAATAAAAATTTAAGTAAGCATAATGTTGAAAAAAGTGTTTATATTAATTTAACTAAGAACTTGCTTATTGATTAAACACTTACCATCTCTTTATTATTTATATTCAATCGTTTAAATCTACGATCTTTAGCTATGCTTCCCTGGCATTTTTTCTCTGCGTTGATTTCCTCAACACATTGTATTTTACTTTCATCATAAATGGTGCCATTTGGACAGTTGAATACTGCAATTTTTAGTTCGTGATTATCATTATCTTCTAGGCATTGATAGAAAAGATTACAATACTTGGGATGCCTTCTAAATGAGGTAGGACATGCGTATAAATATTGATCACTCTCAGTATCCGGACAGTTATTACCGCTAGAAGAACTGCCTTCTGTAGTTGTTTCTGAGGAGTTCTCTGTTGGTGCACTTGTACTTGTAGATGTTGTCTCTTCAGTAGTAGTAGAAGAGATTTCTTTTTCGGTTGTTACTTCAGTAGTTGATTGCGGTCCTGCGGTAGATTGCAATGTAGTTGTTTCTTCTTTGGTCGTTGATTTTTCCGTGGAACTTTCAGTTGTTTGGGTACTTGATTGTTCTGTGGAGGATTGTTCAGTTGTGGAAGATGTTTGTTGTTCAATTGTAGTTGATGTTTGTTGTTCAGTCGTGGTTTTTTCACTTGTAGTAGTTGATTGTTCTGTGGAGGATTGTTCAGTTGTTGAAGATGTTTGTTGTTCAGTTGTAGTTGATGTTTGTTGTTCTGTCGTGGTTTTTTCACTTGTAGTAGTTGTTTGCTCTGTTGCCGTTGTACTTTTTTCACTTGCAGTTGTGATTTGATTGGTGGTCGTACTTTGTTCAGATACACTTGTAGTTTTATCCGTAGTTGGTTGTACACTTACAGTGTGTTCAGTAGTAGTAGATGACATATTTGTAGAAGTCACTTGATCACTTGTTGAAGGCTGTTTAGTGGTAAATTGAACTTCTGTTATAGTTGATTGCGTAGCAGTTGTGTCACTACTAGAGGATTGTTGCATTGTAGTTGATTTAGTACTTGTCGACTCTTGTGTCTGTCGAGTTGTTTCCATAGAAACACTGGTAGAAGAATTATCAGTGACAGTTGTAGTTTCAGAATTACTGTTATCGGTTTGTGATTGTGATCCGCAAGTACGGTGAGGGTATACAGATTCTTCATAATTACAAGTGTCAAGAGCGGGGTTCCATATAGTACCTTCACCGCATTCAAAATGAAACACTGAGAATCTTTTACCATCACCATCCCAATCAACACATCTATAAAATTTTTTGCAATCGTTGGGGTTAGGAAAATATCCTGCTTTAGTACAAGTCACATCTTGATTTTGTGGTTTTTTAGGATTTTCTTCACCTGAACAATTTACGGATCCTTGGTTGCTACTTTCATGAGAGCTCATTGTAGTTTCTGTAGGCGCTAAAGACGTTGCTGGTGATACACTTGAAGAGCCAGTTGTTGAGTAAACAGGTGATACCGTATTTGTTGAAGACGTAACATCTGTAGTTCGTTCATCACATGAAAGATTCGTAACATCTTTTGGATGGTTACAAGCTAAGATGTCTTGATCCCATATGGTACCCTCACCACAAATATAATCATACTTAATGTAACCACCCTTTCCGTTGTCAACACACCTATAAAACTTTTGGCAGTTCTCCTTATTGCCATAGTAACCCTCGTTATTACAGTTATCTTTGCTTGAAGGACTTTCTTTTCTCGATGTTGCCTCCGGAGCCAAAGTCGTTGAATTTTGTGTAGATATGTTCTCAGTCGTCTGAGATTCCTTTTCGTCTTGCGCTGTTGAAGTGACTTGAACTTCTAAAGCATTTGTCTTTTGACATCTGTTTACATTTGTAATGTGATTACAAGTTTGTGTGTCTGCGTCCCAGGCGGTGCCTTCACCGCAAATGTACTCATATTTTGTATATTCACCTCGGTCATTAATTACACAATGGTAAAATTTGCGGCAATCGTTTGGAGACGCATAATACCCTTCTGAGTGACATTTATTATTCTGTAGAGTATTTGACTCACTGTGGGTATCTGTTGGACTCTTATCTGTGTTTGGTTTTTCGCTTTGCGTAGAGTTAATGACAGATGGTGTAGGGATATTTGTGGCCATTATAGGTACTTCACTTACTGTAGATATCTTATTACTACATGTGGAAGTGTCAATTTCATGATCGCAAGCTTGAATAGCTTGCACCCAAATTGTTCCTTCTCCACAAGTAAAATCATATTTTACATATCCGCCTTTGCCATTATTAACACAACGGAAGAATTTCTTACAATCTTTAGGGTTAGGATAAAATCCATCTGCGAAGCAATTGGCCTCCATACTGGGCGTAGAATTTTTATTTATTTGTGTAGAATGTTCTTCTAAATCTGGTGAAGGTTGATTTACTGTATTGCTTTGTTCGGTAGCTGCTACAGGCGGCTTATTTGTTAAAGTTACATTAATAGTAACAGTTTTTATGCAGTTATTATTATTGTTAGATGCAAGAACGCAGGTTTGAATATTTTGGTCCCAAACCGTACCTTCCCCGCAAACAAATTCATATTTGTCAAAACCGCCCTGTTGATTAATAACACATCTATAAAACTTTTTACAGTCTAAATAGTCACTATAAAATCCTTCCGCTATACAGATACCACTTATGTGAGGGGTTTTAATTGTAATTGTTGCTTCGTTCTGTGGAAAACTTGACATTGTAGAATCCACTTCGAAGTTAGTTGTAGTTGCTGGTTGTGTCATATTGCCCTCGGAAGTTATTGACATCACACCGCAATGCTTAACTAATGAGGCATGATTACATGCTCCTATGTTTTGATCCCAAACTGTACCTTCTCCACAAGAAAATTCGAAACGAGTAAACCCACCTTGTCCATTATCTACGCATCTATAAAATACTTTACAGTCATTTTTGTCTGCAAAAAATCCAACAGTTTTACATTCTTTGTTGTCTTCGGTAACTGGTGTATTATACGTAGATGAAATCATAGTACTCTGATTCTGATTAGAATTACCTAGACTGGGTGTTGAATAACTATTGTCAAATTCATCATTCATGGTGTGCGTTGTAGTTGATGATTTGAGAGTAGTAGCTTCTTGTTGAGTATTCGAACTACCTCCACACCTTTTTACAGCCCAAGCGTGATTACACATTTCTATTGAAGGATCCCACACTGTGCCTTCACCGCAAGAAAATTCATATTGTTTATAACTGCCGTCACCGTTCGATACACACCTATAAAATTTCTTGCAATCGTATTCATCTCCGATAAAGCCATTATTACTGCATATATTAACCTTATTACTATCAGCTGTGTTATCTGTTGCAGAATTAAGTTTAGTTGTACTAAGTGTACTCCGAGTGGTTCTGATAGTCTCTTTATAAGTTTCGGTAGAAAAAATATTATCAGTTTCTTCAACGGAGTCTGAAGGAGGTGGCTGTATAGGTATTTTTTCATGTACCTCATTAGTGATATTGTATCTGCAGTTTTTAACTGCCCAAAAATGGTTACAAGCTACGATTTCTGAATCCCAAAGAGTTCCTTCACCACATGAATATTCAAATTGAATAAAACCTCCATTTCCATTTTCAACGCATCTATAAAATTTTCGACAGTCGTAATTATCTGCCATAAAGCCATTTCTTTCACATTTATTTTCGATATTTAAGGGCATCTTATTGGTAGTAGTTGTTACTTTTGATGTTGTTGCAGTATAATTATTATTTGGACCGAAGCCTATATTATATTCATTGTTAATATGATTTAACTGTGTATTTGTTTGAATAAATGTTATTGTTGTAATAATAGTAGATTCTGTACTAGGCTTACTAAATTTTGTTTCGTTTTTGGAGCTACGGCCACAACGTTTTACTATCCACGCATGATTACACGCCTCTATGTCCGGATCCCAAACGGTGCCTTCATCACACATATATTCAAATTTAGTAAATCCACCATTTATATTTTCTATGCATCGATAAAATCTTTTGCAATCTACTTCGCTCCCCTTGTATCCAGTAGAATTACAGACTTCTCGACTTACAGTGACTTCATAAGGCCTCGACGTAGTCTCATTTACTTGTTGCAAAACAGTTGTTGGATTGAAATTTTCTTGCCTATCTTTTTCTTTTGGCAAGTTATAGCCATCAAAATTGTTACCATTATTGTCACTTATAAAACTTGGTGTAGATGTGATGTAAGAATTTTCATCGTTAGTTTTTGCTGATGTTAAACTGATAAAACTTGGTGTAGATGTGATGTAAGAATTTTCATCGTTAGTTTTTGCTGATGTTAAACTGATAAAACTTGGTGTAGATGTGATGTAAGAACTTTCATCGTTAGTTTTTGCTGATGTTAAACTGTTAGAAATTATCTTACCTCCACATTCTTTAACCATCCATATATGGTTGCATGATTCTATATTTTTATCCCACACCGTTCCTTCGCCGCATGAAAATTCATATTTAGTGTAGCTACCTCTACCATTTTCAATACATTGATAAAATTTTCTGCAATCATTTGGGTCCCCCACAAAACCGGGGTCACTGCATTTAAAATTATTTGTTTCAATTTTGGGGTTATTTGTATTATAAACTGGAACTTTGTCAAGATGATGCAATAAATTCGTGTTATATTGAGTTTCACTCAATGGATTTGAGTTGCTTGATATATATTGAGTTTGTTTATCTATAGTAGGATATCGAGTTTGTACTTCGACTTTATTTTCGTTATTTTTGTTTTTCTTAGTACTGGTTTCTTCATGAAAGCTTACCCGATCTCCATAATTAATCTGACTCGTAACACGTGATGTTGAATTAGCTGTAACTGGAGATTGTATCGCTTGTTTATTATAACCAGCCAATTCAGTTTCATTATTTTTTTTGTTTATTTGTAAATAATATTCATCAAATTTCGAAAATGTATCGTTAGCAGAATCATCAGGTGCACAGCGTCGACGTCGTACAGCCCAAGGATGATTGCAACTTTGTATGTCATCATCCCATATTGTAGACTCACTACACATAAATTCATATTTAGCAAAACCTCCCCTTTGATTATTAACGCACCTGTAAAATTTTCTACAGTCTTCATTGTCACCAATGAATCCATCGTATGTACATTCATTGCTGTGCTGTAAATTCGAAGAGGAAGAAACTGTAGTCTCCCAAAACGGATTAGTAGAACTAGTCCGAGGATAGGCCGTAGATACAACAGAGGACTTAGATGTTGGAAACTTCGTCGTTGTAGTTAAAATATCTGGTGTCTGTGGCCTAATTATTTCATTTTCTTGATTAATAGAGGATAAGGCTCTATAAGCAGAATTTTGCATAACTACAGGCTTCATTATTGAAGGATTGTTTGTTGTTGTGCTAATCAGTACTTGATTTGGTGTTTGTTCAGGGTTTAAAGGTTTTCGTGCGGTAATAGATGATGGAAATTCTTTGACAGGTTCTATGTCGTTATCGCTTATTTGTTCAACAGGTGCAATAATAAATTGAAAAGGCCTAGTTGATCTACATTCGGATCGTTTTGTACTATGTGAATGGTTACACGCTTCAGTATCAGGATCGTATACGGTCCCCGGACCGCACTCAAACTGCAATAAATAATGAAATTAATGTTCAATACATTAATTTTTAAAAATAGTTCAATACATTAAATATTAATATACATCAAATTAATTAAGAGAATAGAAGATACGCACCCGAATAATTGTATATTTTCCTCCAGATGCTTTGATGCAGCGGTAAAAAGTTCTACAGTCCTTAGGATCTGCTAAAAATCCTTCACTAATGCAAGTAACTGTTTCTGGTTGGATTTCAGAATGTAACTTCACTATTCGACCGCTAACGCGGGAATGTCGATTTCCATCTAATGATGTACCTTTAAAAATTAAAATTAAAATATTTTTTTAAAGTTAAAGAAAGCAATGTAATTTAAAACTGTAAACATAATGATGATGATGATGTCCTTTGGCCTATTTTGACCACGGCGGCATAAGGGTTTTAATTATATTGCGCGGAACCCTAATTTTTTTCTCAAATATAAGTTACTCCTTAGAACATTAGCTATCTGCCAGTGAAAGTCCCGTTGGAATGGGTCCAGCCGTTTCGGAGATTAGAACCGGAACAAACAGACATACAGACAAACAGACCGACAGACGAAAATTTTAAAATTTGTGTTTTTGTTATAAGTACCGTATATACATTCTTTTTCAGACACTTAAATTTTATTTATTCGTATAGATATATTTTGTGCACATATATACTCGTATTACAATTAAATGTAATTAAACTTTGAAAAAACATGTTTTGAATTTTCATATTAAATACGAAGAAACTTTTCCGCGACCTAATATTAAAACCTACGAGAATAAAAAACTTTATAAGCATATTGCGCGCACGCAGAAGTGTGAGATCTTGATGGGGCAAACGAGCATACGATTGTGAAACTTTATTTAACAAAAACTAGATTTTAAACACCAGTTTGTTCTGGCACTCGAGTACGCGTTCCTGAAAAAGTTAGCATGGCTGGTGTATATAGCTTCGCCTCATAATGACCTGCAGACCGAATTTCAGTAACGGTGGCCAGTCTCAATGGAGACTAGCCTGCGCAGGTCAGGATTATAGTGCCCGATATTACTCTCCTAGTCCGATGGAATGGTTATCCGATACGACTCGACATCTCGACAACACCACACAGGACTGACAACGCCCCCAACTTCCTGACTCCGGGCTGCTACATATTAATGTAATATTGAAATAAATACAATATTATAAAACAATATTTAAAAAAAAAAAAACTAAAACTTAAATTATCATACAGTACTGCTACCCGCGCAATAGTGCCAAGAACGCTGGCTGCTTATATTCGCTAAATGGCTATACTTAGTCTTTGAGCGAGAAAAGAAAGCCATCTTAGCACCAGTCGGATGCAGTTCCTTTCTTCTTCACCGCATGTGGAGGACAAGGATCAATAGTGTGTCTACAGCAAGTGACACAAATATGTAGTCATCTCTCAGAGATTCATATTTGAGCTACTTAGTTCAGCTGCCTTTGATGCCGCCCTGGCTCTAAACATGGTACCTCTGAGATGAGAGACTGCCAGAATATAGATATGTCAGAATGTTACTTACCATTTTTATTGGCATTAATTGTGTTACCGATCGCAGTTTGTATAATTAATACTATTATATACCATTCTTCTAAATAAGTTATCATTTTCATGGTTAAGTTTTTAATTTAGCAGGCGCGTTCTAACAGTGACTTTATAAATAAATCATTGTCGCTTCATCCAGCAATCTGTAACAAAGTAATAAGGCAATTGTATATAGATAATATAGGTACCATAATATAATATAAACATACTACTCTTTCTTTGATCATCATGTGGTAGAGGCGTAAAGTCTTCTCTGAATCACTGATCTGATCTGTGTCCTTAGTCGACTAAAGGAAATACCACAATCCCTAAGTCTATTCGATAGATGACGATAATACATAACTTGTAGATTTCATCATCATCATTTCAGCCCTACACAAGTACACTGCTGAACATAGAATGCCAAAAAAGACGGTCCTACGATATGCATGCTCGTAGATAACGGATTTAAAAATAATGTTACTGACACGACGATGGAAAACAGCTACAAAGTTGTGGTGTGGTTTTTTCCTTTGAACTTCAATCCACCAGAGGTGGCGATTACTCCAAAACTTCCAAACTGTGGGAGGTATCCAATTATTAAGATAATTTTTACGAATTCTGGTTAACTAAAATTGTATTAACGAGCAGTGGCGGTGTAAGAATATGTTTTACTCTATATTATCCTGTAGGTGTTATAAGAGGCGACAGTGGAAAACAAATCAGAGACGAGCAGCAGCGTCTTCCTAATCAAAACCTGCGGTTGCCAACCCGCTTGCCAAGCGTAGCAACTATGGCAAATATCCCCCCTATGAGACAATCAAAGGGGGAGGCCAATGTTCAGCAGTCGACTTTAATAGGCTGTAACGGTAATTAAATTAGTGACTGATTACAAATTCTGGTCGTTACTAGTTCTTTCTCAATTTATTAGAAACAACAATTGCTTCCAGAAAACCTAAAATCGAAAAAAAAGAAGTGAAAAGTTAATTAGTAATATTGTAGCCATAATCCTGTAAAACTTTGATACTGTCCTGTAATAAACACACCTATACATTAAAATCGCAAAACGCACACCCTTTTGTTGTGTTACTGTTGTCATAAAAAAGTTTGCCACGCAATTCTGCTAAAAATGACAAAATTTTGACAGCATTCGAAAAGAAGTTATCCGGCCAACACAATAGAATAATTATAACGTATTCAAAATTGACTAAATAATAAAAGGTATTATTATACTTTTACTACTGTTTAAAAACCCAGCCATCCTTGTCTGTTTTTTTCAAAACTACAATTTACAATGTTGGTGGTGCACGTAATTATAAAAAAACAAACAACTTCGTAGCGATCGTCTTATTTACAGCGTCTACTGCTAATACTCTATAATTCCTCCTAAGGGTGTTACCACACCAATCGAACGATCATCGATCGATGCCATTGATCGACGGAGATCGATGTCGATCGATTAGTGTGGTAGCTTTAGCTAATCGACGGATACTGGTCGATAAAACGTTGTTCATTCATCGATCGACAATTAATCGATCTGGTTGTGGACTCATCATTAATGACGCAAACGCAGAAGACTAGTCAGAGATCGCTTATTTCATCTAGACGACATTTTAAATAGCTTAATCTATTTATTTAATTATATTGCATTGTATTAAATATATATTATATGACGAGAAAACTACAAAAATATCCCAATAATAATTCCCTTCAGACCGAATTTGGAACATGGTGGCCAATCTCAACTGAGACTTACGTGATAGAGCCATGCTGCAGCTATATTAGTAGTATAGTTGTAGCACAAATGGATCGGCTCGACTGGGAAAGGACCACGCGCTCACGGAATACCAGCGTAAAATGACAAGGTCACAGAAACCACTTACCACCAGATGCTCTGTGTTCTCGTTTGTCACCCTATCCTATATAAAAAAAGACTCGCTTATTTTATTATACTCGCGGATTATAAATTATAATACACGAGTGTGTGCGTAATCAAGCAGAGTACGAACTGTGTTACACCCCGATGTCTCGGAAAGCACTTTGAGGCACCGGGTTGTAACGCCGCTAACTTTTTTGACTCCGAGCTGCTACTGAGAATTTGTGGACAAAAAAAAGCCAAGATTTGAACCCGGAATCTTATGATCAGCTGTCGCATTAGGACCACTAAACCAACAAGCCATACAAACAAGTTACGCAATGTGTTTATACAATGTATTCGAAAAGAGTCTTTGTTTCAAACGCAACGTGAAATTTTTTAAATGTTTTACATAAGAGAGGGTAACGAGCATGCGATTCACCTGATTGTAAGTGACTAGCGTCACCCATAATTGCAACGCCAAGGGAATTGCTGACATTAAAAAAGAGTAGGCTCTTTTCTTGAAGGTCTCTAAATCGTATCGGTCCGAAAAAATCGCTGGTGGTAGTCGATTCCACAAGGATGTTGTGCGAGGAAGAAAACTTCTCGTAAATCGTATAATAAACGTCACCGAGTACCGGAACAAACTTGTATCTGAAGTCGAGTCTTTGCTGAACAAAGTCTCGGATTAGGGGCGACTAAATCTAGTCCAGTTTAATCCTCAGAAGACAAAAGTTTGCGCGTTTACCGCTAAAAAGAACCCCTTTGTCGTGTCTCCTCAGTTTCAAGGCACTCCACTTCTTGGCGCAGCCAGTATCGGAATCCTCGGAGTCGACATATCGAGTGACGTGCAGTTTCGTGGTCACTTGGAAGAGAAGGCCAAATTTGCCTCTAAAAAGCTTGGCGTGCTCAGCAGAGCGGGACAGTATTTCATGCCGGCACACCGCCTGCAACTTGACAAGGCGCAGGTTCGGCCCCACATGGAATACTGTTCCCGTCTTTGGGCAGGGGTTCCCCAGTGCCAGCTCCTTCCACTTGACTTACTACTTCCTTGTGGAATCGATTACCATCAGCGATTTTTCCTGACCGATACAACTTAGGGACTTTCAAGAAAAGAGCCTACTCCTTTTTAAAAGGCCGGCAACGCATCTATAATTCCCCTGGTTCCCCTGGTGTTGCAGTTGTTCGTGGGCGGCGGTAGTACCTTACCACCAGGGGAGCCGCGTGCTCGTTTGCCCCCTCTCCTATATAAAAAAAATCGCAGAGTGGTGGACCACCAATTATCCAGATGGTATGAATGAGTTTACGTGGTGTGCGATGGTGAATAGCGACTAGAATTAGTCCGAAAAATTTCTCTAAGCACTCTCCGTGGTAGCGCCAGTGAGTCAAGCCGATCATAAAGAACTCGGTCGTCGACTCGGGTTATTCAAAGAGTATGAGTGACAAACAAGCACACAATTTACCTCATGGTAAGTGGATGCCGTGGCCCATTGACGTCTACATTTGTTCTCGATTTAGAATCAAAATGTAGATGCGTTGTCACCCCTGAGGACTAGGATGGAATGTCTCGTTTCCAGTAAAAGGGGTCTCCGGTTCTCTACACTCACCATTAGAAAAACAGCAGCATTAAGCTGCTATTTCACGCTGGTATTTTGTGAGAGCGTGGTCCTACCCAGGTCGCGCTGACCCACTCGTGTTACAACTATTATAGCCGCAGCGTGACTTCACCACGTAGAAGGGTTGCTCGCGTGCTGTGATATTTACGGCGAACGATTAGTCCATGAGCTAAGAACGATTTTATTTGTACTACTAATTACGAAATGAAGAAATAAAAAATAGATTCAATCAATCCGATGTGAGATAAACGGGAAACGTCCCAAAAGCTTACTTTAACCAACGGTACTCTGACTTATATCATCTGGTCTGTAGGCGATGTACGCGCTAAATACGCAGTTATCTCACCTATTACCATGATCTTGGCAAGGATAGCTAAAGCTGTACTCCGAACGTGACTGAGTTGTTGATTAGAAGAAAGCATTTCCTTATCTTAAACATCCTTATTTACGCACAACTGTTTGTTGCTGATAAATTGGGCATCTATATTTAGTCCTACTAGTTGTCCCCATTAGTAGATCTAAGCTTTTTTATCTTCTTCTGTCACGTTATTATTTTATTTGATAATAAATAAATAATAACAACAATTTTTTTTACAATGTTTAATAACACTACTTATAAAACTAGACTAATATAAGTACTTCTAAAGAGATATTTAATAACACTACTTGTAAAACTAGACTAATATAAGTACTTCTAAAGAGATATTTAATAACACTACTTGTAAAACTAGACTAATATAAGTACTTCTAAAGAGATATTTAATAATACTGCTTATAAAAAAAAACTAATATAAATACTTCTAAGAACATACTAAGTTGACTAATAATAAAAAAAAACGCAAATAAAATAAAATTAACAGGTCGCGGGTTCGACGCCTTTCAGGATCAGGAGAAAAAAAAGCAAGTACTTCCCTGGCACGACTGGCGGCGAGTCCGGCGGAAGTGGTTGGAGATATGTGTCCTTTATAGACCGATTTCGCTTGCGAATTCAATGTATATTTTATATATATATATATATATATTTCATTTAATTCCAAATCCTCCCATCTTATCTCGTTTAGAAATAAAATAATAAGAAGGATGTCTCAACCCCTGGCGAGGTTCCCTGGAACACACAGTCGAAATCTTTCATGAGCCTTGCCTCCAAAGTAGGTAATATTATACGCCCACCGCCAGAATCAACTAGGCGAGTAAAACTGATAAGTTTGGTGTGGCGGTACGTGCTACCAGAACGGAGGCAAGAAAATAAAGTTATATCAACTAAGCATCTACTATGAAAAGACATACACAATTACGTGGTAAAATAACTAGCATGTGACATAAAATTAAATTACACACTAAGTATCAATTGTCTAAACTTCAAAATCAAAGTAACATAATATTTGTTACACTATTGTAATACATATATTATAAATTTGCTCACACTTACCCAATATAAGGGGAACAACCGTTAATATTTAATAATTATTAACAAACCTATAAAAAGCTATTAGCTATAATTTGCATAACGTATGCGTTTTGAATTATTTAATATAGATGCAGAAATGCATTTAGGCGACTGGACCTTCACGGTCACACTGAGGTCACTCGTCAGCCGCGCGGACTATTCATGCACCCCCACTTGTCTTCGCGCGAATTAGATGACACATTACAATACCCCGCTGGCCACCCAAGGATTTTTCTTCCTATAAGTAGAAAAATCCGCAGCAAAACCAAAAAATATGCTATTTAGACAATTTAAAATCTTTTATGTGCCATGGCCCTAAATATTTACCGTGCATGTCCTCCAATTCGTACACTAGAGGTGACCTCTTTTTAGTTATGCGGCATTTAATAAATTTTGGGGCTAATTTTTTATTAAAATATTTGTGTTTATCACTCAGATAGTAAGTGCGCTTAAATACAATATCGCCTTCGTTAAATTCTGTGAACCTTCTCCTTAAATTATAGCGTTTGGAATTTTGTTGATGATGATGCCATAGTGATGCCTGAACTTTGTTGAATATTTTAGCGAGATAACCGATGTTCTCAGCATAGGCGTCTCGCGGTAAGAAAACAATTTCATCGCCAAGGTCGTTGTCAACGTAGTGAGAACCACATATTACCAATTCACGCCCATATACAAGGAATGAGGGAGTGTAACCAGTAACCTCGTTAACGGAGTTGTTTATTGCAAACAGTATTTTAGGCAAATATACATCCCAAGAACGCTGATCTTCTTTCACAAAGGTCGATATACAGGTGACAATAGTTTTATTATAGCGTTCCACCAAATTAACCTGAGGAGTATATTTAGGTGTAAGAAAAACGTTAGGAATATTATACTTATTAAATAACGCAATGGTCTTCTCACAAATAAATTGGCTGCCATTATCCATATACACCGTTTGGGGAATGCCATGTGTTAAAAATACAGAGTCTTCCAGATGTTTAATTACAATGTCGGCTGTAGCTCTTCTTACCGGAAACGCTAAACAATATTTGGAGAAACAACATGTTACGACTAAGATATAAGAATTTTGTTTTCTACTAACTGGCAGGGGTCCGATGAAATCAATTGAAATAATTTGGAAGGGTCGGCAACACTGTTTAGGTCGTCCCATTTCTCCTAACACATTATGAGTAGGGAGTTTATAAGTTAAGCATATGTTACACTTCGTAACAAACTTTACGACGTCCCGATGCATACCTGGCCAAAAATACTGCAATGCTAAACGGCGATAAGTTTTATGGATGCCTAAATGACCTGACGTGGGTTCTGCGTGATTTTCTTTGATAACGTGTTCTCGTAATTCTAATGGAACTACTTCTTTCCACGAAAACTCTGTAGTTAATAAACATTTATTTTTTGAACACCGATATAGCTTTTCCGCTTTGATAAGAAAATTTTCATATTTACTTGGATTGTTCATACAACCATTATAAATGTCTAGATACCATTTATCATTCGTTGTTAAGTAAGATTTTGCTGTGGAAATAGAAGAAACTACGACAGCGCGAGATAACGCGTCTGGAATAATGTTATCAGCACCACGTCTATGCTTGATAGTAAAATCAAAAGAAGATAGCCTAATGCCCCATCTTGCAAGCCTGCCCGTAGGGTTGTTTAAAGAGAGAAACCACTTTAATGCTGAATGATCAGTGTAAACTACAAAAGGTTGACCATTTTCAAGATAGCAACGCCAGTGTTCTAATGCTACTATTACAGCTAATGTCTCTCTCTCGGTAATGCTGTAATTCTTTTCTGCAGCATTTAGTGACTTGCTCATATAGGCAACAGGATGTTCTTTGCCATCGACTGTTTGAGTTAACATGGCACCTACTCCATAATTACTGGCGTCTGTGTGAACTTGGAAGGGCAAATTATAGTTAGGACAATGTAAGACTGGTGCAGATACTAAACATTCTTTTAGCTTTTTAAAAGCTATGTCTGCCTCTGGTGACCAGTAAAATTTTGGAGCACCCTTGCGATTTGAAGTAAGTTTATTAAGAGGCCCAGCTATAGTGCTAAAATTTGGCACAAAACGTCTATACCAGGTGGCTGTTCCTAAAAAACGTTTTACATCTTTTTTTGAAGATGGTGTTGGATACTCTAAAATAGCTTTTACCTTTTCAGGGTCTGTTCTGAGACCCTGGGCGTCTATTACGTAGCCCAAATATTTCAGACGAGACCGAAAAAATTGGCTTTTTTCAAAGTTTATTGTTAAATTTGCTTCCTTTAACTTATTTATTACACGTAATAATAAAGAAACGTGTTCATCGAATGTGTTAGAAATAATAATTATATCATCGAGGTATGCAAATACCTTAAGATCAAATGAACCAAATAATAAGTCTACAAGCCTTTGTTGGGTTGCAGGTGCATTGGTAAGGCCGAAAGCCATCCTCTTAAAACAAAAGGTCCCACGACCTTGGACATAAAAGGCAGTTTTTTCGCGATCGCGTTCTGAAATTAAAATTTGCCAGAATGCTTTAGAAAGGTCTATACTAGATATAAATTTTGCGTCTCGCAGATTATCTAGAATTTCGGAAACATATGGCAAGGAATAAGCATCGCGTTTGGTTACAGAATTTAACTTGCGACTGTCTAAGCAAATGCGCGGTTGGCCGTTTTTTTTTGTAACAATTAAGATTGGAGAGGACCAAGAGCTCTCACAAGGCTGAATTACGTCCAATGAAAGCATCTCGTCAACTTGCTGGCATAAAATTTGCTGCTTTACAGGGGACATTCGATAATAACGCTGTCGTATAGGTTTCGTGTCACCCGTATCAATAGAATGACATACAAGAGAAGTACAACCTAAGCCCTTGCGTTCGGAAGAAACGTCCTTAAATTGTTCAATTATGTCGTCAGCAATCAAGCGTTGGTTGGCATTAAGCGATGCGTATGAATGTATATGAGATTTTAATATTGATTCATTCGTGTTTGAATAATAATCGGTGAGTTCTCTTTTATATTCAATGCAGTTGATGTATTTTGGACATATGTTAAATTTTTTCCAGAAATCAATACCTAATATAAGAGAGGTCTCTATTTCAGGAACTACAAATGTCTTCAAAGTATAATAATTGTTTTCAAAATTAAATGGGAGATTAATATATCCTAAGCAATTAAGTTTTTGTCCACCGGCTGCTGTTATAGAGACTATTTCATCAGTGCGCACAGCAAATCCTTCATCTATCAGTAAGTTGTGTGCATTATTGCCTAGTAAGGTGACGGCTGAGCCAGAATCTAATAACCCCCAAAATTTTGTATTTCCTATTTTGACTGATAAATAAGGTCGCACGTCGTTAGGTGGTTTATTAAGTAGAATTGTAGCAACTGTATAGCTATTAAAAAAATTATTAATAAACTTCAACCACTGTTTCCAATCGGTATTATTAGAGTGGTTGAGGAGGTTGCTACAATTCTGCTTTATTAGTTTTTTGAACTAGACGGAATACTTGTACAATCTGGACAAGTGTAAAATGTGTAATCATCACGGCCACATTTGAAACAAAATACTTTGCGTTTTTCTGTACATTGTCTTAAGTTGTGTGTATCAACACGACACCGGGGGCAAAACTTTTGTTTACTTTCGTCATATTGAATAGCGTCAATTGGTTTATTATGACCATAAACTCTTTGTTGCCGTTGCGGATAAGTGTTGTTTAAAACATTAGAATTGGGAGAATATTTTTTATAAAGGTTACTTGAATTAGGTATAGGTTTATTATAATTATTATAAGCTTTATTGCAATTAAATTTATTAGTGGCAGAATAGTACATTTTATTTTTTTTTGCTAAATTAGTGAGTGGCTTAAATGCAAATTCGGGTGCTAGTGTGGCTGAATTTATTTTAGGAGGTTCATGATATTTATTAAGACAAGACTGTACATTCTCATAATTTTTACAAGCCGTACGTAAGACCTCAATAGATTTAAGATCAGGCACTGCAATTAAAGCGCTAGCATAACACGGTTTGATATTGTGCATAATAATTTCTAACTGATCTTCCTCCGAAGGTTTTTTAAATAAACGGGAAAACATGCCTGACATAATGGCTAGGTAAATAGTAATATTCTCAGTTTCACCTTGCGTACGAGCTTTTATCTCGTCTAATAAGCGATAATCATGATCAGGAATAACAAAAACATCCTTCAGTAATTCGCATAATCTATCCCAAGACGTAACATGTGATCTTACACTGCGAAACCAGTGTAAAGCATCACCAACGAAAATTTCTGTTCCAAAATCTATAATTTTAGAAGAGGGAATACCACGGGCTGTTATATAGTCGTTTATACGTTGGACAAACGAAAGTACGCACGTTTTTCCATCAAACTTAATACTAGTTAAGTCCGAAGAATGAGCTCGATCACATGTAACAACAATAGGGGACGGTGTAATTGTAAGAGCATCTGTAAATTCAGATGAGGAATCAGTATCAGGCTTAAGATGTTCTAAGTTTTTAAAATTTGTATTTAGCTTGAGCCTGAGGCTTTCTAGAATATCTGTAGACTTTTTATCTACAGCATCCAGACGTTGAATCCTATGAAATAGATGGTTAAGTAAGTTTTGAGTACGTTTATATAAATTTCTATCATATTTCACTGATAATGTTTTTAAATTCGTTTCTACTTTAATAAGGCTTTCGCGGATGCCCTCTACGTCTACAGAAAACTCAAACCCAGATTCAATAATATCATCCGAAGGCATCACATTGGCTAATTTGACTATCTGCCTGCGTAATTCTTGAACGTTTTCTCCGGGTGTGCCGCCTCTAATGGCCACCTCATAGCTTAGTTCGTTTTTTTGTAAGGACAAAAATTGAATTTCGTATGACATAATTTAAGAAGTCTAAGAAAATCCTTATACTAGGTTTATGTGAGCAGGTTTAAAATTCTATAATTATACAATAAAACTAATTTGTTTAAGTAAGAATCCTCCGTCCTGTTACAATTTTGGTAATAGTAATCCCCTAAGTTTTTTTTTTTTTTAAGGATGCTCGTAAAAATTACTACACGGGAAAGCAAAAAAATAAAGAGAAAAAAAAAATGCAACAATAGGGTGCAACTGTAGTATATATTTGCTTTAATAAAGCTTATTATTAAATATATTAATAAAACCAAAATATTTTATTTTTGTACGTATACAAATTAGACACAATAAGGATACCACTAAAATTAAAACATTATATACACTGCAGTTGCAAAAGTATAAAAGGCAAAATAAAAGTCATAAAAAAAAACAAAAGGTTTACAATATACACGCACACAACACTAAAATTCCTGATCCTGAATAACCGAGTTGAGGCGCCAATGTCACGTTATTATTTTATTTGATAATAAATAAATAATAACAACAATTTTTTTTACAATGTTTAATAACACTACTTATAAAACTAGACTAATATAAGTACTTCTAAAGAGATATTTAATAACACTACTTGTAAAACTAGACTAATATAAGTACTTCTAAAGAGATATTTAATAACACTACTTGTAAAACTAGACTAATATAAGTACTTCTAAAGAGATATTTAATAATACTGCTTATAAAAAAAAACTAATATAAATACTTCTAAGAACATACTAAGTTGACTAATAATAAAAAAAAACGCAAATAAAATAAAATTAACAGGTCGCGGGTTCGACGCCTTTCAGGATCAGGAGAAAAAAAAGCAAGTACTTCCCTGGCACGACTGGCGGCGAGTCCGGCGGAAGTGGTTGGAGATATGTGTCCTTTATAGACCGATTTCGCTTGCGAATTCAATGTATATTTTATATATATAAATATATATTTCATTTAATTCCAAATCCTCCCATCTTATCTCGTTTAGAAATAAAATAATAAGAAGGATGTCTCAACCCCTGGCGAGGTTCCCTGGAACACACAGTCGAAATCTTTCATGAGCCTTGCCTCCAAAGTAGGTAATATTATACGCCCACCGCCAGAATCAACTAGGCGAGTAAAACTGATAAGTTTGGTGTGGCGGTACGTGCTACCAGAACGGAGGCAAGAAAATAAAGTTATATCAACTAAGCATCTACTATGAAAAGACATACACAATTACGTGGTAAAATAACTAGCATGTGACATAAAATTAAATTACACACTAAGTATCAATTGTCTAAACTTCAAAATCAAAGTAACATAATATTTGTTACACTATTGTAATACATATATTATAAATTTGCTCACACTTACCCAATATAAGGGGAACAACCGTTAATATTTAATAATTATTAACAAACCTATAAAAAGCTATTAGCTATAATTTGCATAACGTATGCGTTTTGAATTATTTAATATAGATGCAGAAATGCATTTAGGCGACTGGACCTTCACGGTCACACTGAGGTCACTCGTCAGCCGCGCGGACTATTCATGCACCCCCACTTGTCTTCGCGCGAATTAGATGACACATTACACTTCTTTATCAAGGATATGATTGGTGATCACAGTACTGGAGTTCTCGCACCTTAAATGCTGCTCTTTATCGCTGGTCTGGCTATTTTATTTCGAGTGAGCACAAGGCGGTATACTGCTGTCTATTGAAGATCATTTAATCTTTCTGGTCGAAAGAAATAAGTAGGTAGCTACATTAACTTTTTAAATTATACTTGTAACTTTATAAAATATATCGTTACCGTTACAGCCTATTAAAGTCCCCTGCTGATCATAGGGTGGATATTTGCCATAGTTGCCACGCTTGGCAAGCGGGTCGGCAAGCGCAGTTTTTTTATTTTTAGTCGTTTTAAAATGACCTTGCAGCCCAACTGCTGATTTGTTTTCCTCTGTCGCCTCTTACGACACCCACGGGATTATATAGGGTACTAGATATTCTTACATCGCTACTACTTGGTTAGTATTTAATATGCTATTTACTCTATTGCTTTATACGTGCTCGGCGGTAAAGGATAACATCGTGACAATGGAAATCTGCATGTCTGAGAAATAAAAAAAAATATTTCAAAGACACGTGAAGTCTGCCAATTCGCATTGGGGCACGGCGGATACTAAATTGCCATAAAACACTCTCAGAAATGAGATGAACCATGTGCCAGATGTATATAGGCTGGAACTAATATATAAGGCAGAGAAGGGAGAGAAATTATGTGATAAGAGATAAGAGAGGTTTGCAAGATGTGACTAGGATTAAGAATGGAATGCTGCGGTGGTGTGGACACGTAGAAAGAATGAACGAGGAAGAAGTAAAAAGGCAATTTATGATGCGAAAATGAGTGGCAGAATCGGCGAGGGACGCCCTAGACGGAAATTTATCGACCAAATTGGCGGTATATTGAAAAATAGGCCAAGTTAAAAGTACCCTTAAACGGCGCTTATATCGGCACATGTCTCTGATAATTGACATGGTTATAAAGCAGAGAATCCCTGTGC